GGGAGGATGGTTCAGATATCCAGCCCTCTTTTCTCCAGTGGAGGAGGCCAGGGGGATGTGCCAGCCCTCCTCCCTCGGGTCACTCACTGATGGTACCCATGAATGTAGTGGCTGGAGTGAGCCCCCCAAAAAATGGAATTGGGAGGGGGGGCTTCTCTCAACTTCCATCTACCTTGAATGTATTCTTGATCCCCTGCCCCCTTCATTTTCCTCCGGAAGCTTGGATGCTTTGGGGAGGGAATCAATTTGATAGGGTGTCTATCCTGAGGGTCACTTTATGCACTCCACTATCCTTCAATTCCTTTTTCAAAGCACTGTGTGTATGTGTGTGCGGGTGTGTAGTGCATGTGTTAAATGCAGCCGAACTATTTAAGTGTTCAAACCACCCTTAAAAAGTGATGGGGGCATAAGTTAGCAGTTTCCAGGTCCCTCTAGCCCTCCCTGGGAATGTCATTTTAAGAAAGAGGGCTACTCTGTAATAATTTGGGGTGGCATTTTTTTAAAGAAAAAAAAAAAGAACCATTGTTTCCAGAAATGCAGAAAAAAACAGTGTTTTAATGCGTACTTTTTATAATGTTATTTTGGGAGGGTTTTGTTCTGTTTGGGGTCACTTAAAAAAAAAACTGAAGGGGAGATAAAGCAGTTTGTCTTTTCCCTCTTCTTCTGGTACGTGCATGTCATTGCATGTCTTGCTCTTTTTTTTTTCCTTTCCTTTTGTTTGTTTTAATAAAAATGCTCAGATATTTAAGCAAAACAATGATAATAATTATTAAAAAAAACTTGTTGCCAAAAGGTTGTGTTTTATTCAGGTTTGATGTCTGCATGTTTTAAAAAAAAAAACTACATCAAAAATATTCTCAGAGAGAAAAATGCAGTCTAATTTATGTGAACTGAAAGAAACAAAAATCAGGTTTAACTACAAAAATCTAAGGGAATGCTATTTTTTTGGAAGACTTTTGTATAAAGTTGAGTACTTAGGGGAAAAAGACAAACCAGATGTAATATATTTTGTGGATGTTTTTATTTCTTGGATTTATAGTACCTTATACTAAGGTTAAAATGCTTGATATTGTGGGAAAAAGTGATAATTTTCACACACATTTCATTTGCTCATTTGTCATATTGTAATGCAAATATGATAGTTAATGCAGACAGCATTTTAAAGGGGAAAAATCAGAAATATTGAACAGATGTATTGTTGTACCATTTGCACTGTGAGCAAATGCTAATGCAGTAAATATATTGTGTTTGCTGACAATCAAATCCGTGTAGTAAATATCTTTATTTTTTTCTTTCTAAATATTGTGATGAATAAGTATCTGTATGTGTGTGTGTGTGTATATATATGTGTATGTGTATATGTGTGTGTGTGTACACACACACACACACACACTCATATTCCCTGCTTTGGAAAAGCATTTCTGATATCTAAAGGAAAGAATTGTTTGGTTACAAATGGGATATTAGCAGCATGAATCTCACCTATTTGTTCTCTTGCTTCTGGCACTATTTTAGCATCTGTATCTTATGTTGAGCTGTTGGTTTCAGGGTCAGTATCTGTGGCTTATTGTTCAGAACAGTAGTATCCTGATGTTGAATCCTTCTTGGTTTTATGCACACTGAATGATAGGAAGACCCCACTAGGCTACAGTGACAATCCCATTTAAGCTTCTTTGAAAGAAATGGGACTTATTTTCAAGCAATTTCACTAAAAGTCAGACCTTGGTCTCAATTATTTAAGTCTTTGTCTTAGACAATACTAGTGGCTCTGGTACCACCCTCAATATTTCCTTCTGAACTGACAAGTTTCTTGCTGTCCTGTTTTCTGAAATGCATACTGTAATCTGGACATCCTCTTGTTCTATCTGCCTCTAAGCTAACAGAAGTTAGGAGTGTTTTGGCACAGGAATTCTTGCCATAGAGCGCTGTGGGTAAGATTCACTTTACTCCCACTGACTTTTCCATTTCAGTCCAAAGGTGAGTGGACAGTTGCACATACATGATAAGCAATGACTATACACTTCTTGTTCTTCATTGAAGAGAAACATTTACATTTCACAAAAGAAACATCTGAAGTAGCTGGTAGGGCTTAGTTATTAATACCCTGTCTTGTTCAAAGCCTTGTTGCTTCAGATCAAAAAGAAGAAACAGGAGAACGTGACTATGCATGGGAAGACATGTGAGGGTTAAAAATATCTATGCATCTTCTTTAGAAATGGCAGCAGTAACTATGAAAGGATGGGGAAAGAGATGCTCATTAGAAAGCTGTAAGAAAACTTTCAAAGATAATAGGTTGTCTCAGACCTAATCCGATATATAAAAGCATTGTAGTGCTATGGTAATTTCATGGCTATTTCTAACGTCCCCCAAGAAAATTAGATGGAAGGAGCCAGAGAAGGTCAAATATGATTTGGTGATTTAACCAATTTCATGCCTGATAAGGATTGACCAATAGTGGCCATTCATCACAGCATATCTTGATTGCACAACTTTCTTCACTGTAGGAGCAATGGAGGATACATCCTGAGATCTACAAATGCAGGTTTTGTACCTGTTGGACCTGTTAAGCTTAGAGTGGTCTATTCTCAAGATTGTTTTATAAGGTTAGAGGAGGTAAAATGTCATTATTCTGGCCTGGGGCAGTGTTGGGGGGCGTTTCTTATTAGGTAGTTGTTCAGTAAAAAGATTGCTGTGATACATGTCTGAATGCTTCTCATCTGGGGGAAAATCTAGCCCTTGACCCATTGGAAGAGTCTAAGCCAAATCTTCCTTCCTAATATGTGAAGAGTTGAATCACCATGGAAATCGTTTTGCTGATGAAAGTGCATTCAAACATACAACATTCCCCCTTCCACATTCTGGAAGGGTGGACCTTAAGTGGTGATGGGGGCAACTTGCTTTTGATGATTATTTAAACCAGTGCTTCTTCAGGTGTGGTCCTAGGACTCCTGGGGTCCCCCAAGACCCTCTCAGGGGCCTGCAAAATCAAAATTATTTGCCAGGCTATGTTGAAAAATAATACAATATTGAAATCCCATCAAGCAATCATGAGAAGCAGTAGTGACAGTGAATGCGTCAATTTTAATTTTTAATATGGTAAATATCAATAAATATAACCCATACAAACAAAAGCTTTTGGGGGGTCCTCCATGATTTTTAAAGTGAGAAGGGGTCCTGAGAGGCAAAAGTTTGAGAAACACTGATTTAAACTGTTCTATGGAATGGCTCTACTGGCTGATTCCCAGTATCGGATTTTCAGGCTGAAATAGATCCACTGCCTACCCAAAGTTGCTGGGAATCTGTCTCTTCCCCTAACATCCAGGATTGAGTTGCTCACTCAGTGCCTTCTTTTCTCTCTGGCCAGAGAGGAAAATCTACCATGTTGTATTTCAGAAAAATTAAACCTCCTGTCTGGCTCAATCACATGAACGTTGAACATTTTGAGGAGGAGCTGCATAGATCCAAGTTGTTTATCTTATGGCAGCTTTCTAAAACAGACTTCCCACTTTTAGTGTTTTTCAAATGTTGGACAACAATTCCCAGATTTCCACTTTGGCTGGGCATTCTGGGAGTTGTAGCCAAATGCTTCTTGAGATTAAATTGGGAAAAACTGCTTTAGAGGCTCAGGAAATTCCGGAGAGTTTTGACTAAAGAGGATAAAGATGAAGTTTCAGGCTTTTTTAGAATATGTGTTTAGCATACAGTACTGAATTTTTCCCCCTTCCCATCCCATTGATAGTTTCTCCCAGAGTTTATATGAATCTTAGTAAGACATGTTTAATTTCAGGTAATCTCTCCATACACATTGACTCAAATGAAAAACATCCAGTCAATCCTTCAACGTAGAAGGATTTTAAAATATCTATCTATCTATCTATCTATCTATCTATCTATCTATCTATCTATCTATCTATCTATCTAT